CACTCGACCCTCTGGGCTGAAGAAACAGTAGGCAGAGGAGGTTTAAACAGCTTTGAATGTGTGACGTTTCTGTCCACTGAAACTGGAGATTTAAATACAGGATCTATATGTGTGACCACATGACTGCTTGTTGGTGCTGCATTCAGGTTTATCACATGAACTCAGTTATAATAATCATTTCAGCTACAGTGTGCTTCACAGGGCGGAGACAAGGGAAGAGGACAGAAGAGAAAATGAAACGAAGCAAATCTAGTTGACATCTCACTGCCCTGGAACGACTCCTCAGATGCTGCTGGAGGGACAACTGTCCTGTTTAAACCAGCAGATGGGCTAAATACAGGCCCCCAACCCTCAGTTTGAGCAACAGAACTGAGGGAAAACAAATCCACCGACCTCTTCTGGTAATGTCCGTCAAACTCAGATCTGTGCGCAGGACGTCCAGCTGCCCCGGTTTAACAAGTGAAGCTGTGAAAAACAGACATGCTGGTGTTTTTCATGTTTCAGCCCATTAAGCACAAATTGTGTTTATTTTGTGTTTAGTTGTTCTGTGTCTCTATGTGTCATCTGACTGACTTCCACCAAGGGGCCCACTCTGTTCCGTTTAAATGCGGAGGAACAAAGTGACTTTAGATGCACAAGCAGGGAGGGCGTTTTGATCTCTCAGCTCTGTCAGCCACAACAAACAAGTTAAATCAAGTTCAGTGTCTGTTTTGACTGAATCTGGAAGTGGATGATGTGGAGAATGACAACGGATGTGGGATCTGTCACTAACGGGCTAAAACATGGAGAAGCAGCAGAACAGTCCTCAGAGTGGATTCGCTGGGCGTGGTGGCGTGTTCTGGCCCGATTTTATCCATCAGTCATTTCGTATGCTCACATCTGCCCCATCTGGTTTTCAGCAGCCAGATGTGTTGCTTATCATTTCTACCCCCCAGTTTGTCTGTCAGGCTCTTCTCTGAGCCACATGACCACTCTCATTGCTGTTACCCTTCATCCCTCCAGCATCTCCTCTGCACCCCCCACCTCTCCAGCTACCACATGTATGTCTTCGTCGTGTTGATCTGACTGCCCCCTGCCTCCTCCTCCCTGACTCCTCTCTCCCTTTCCTCCTCCTCCTTGTCATCTTTGTCCTTCTCGGCCTCGCTCTCCCACAGGGTGATGAGCGGCGGGTACAGCTCGTTCAGCGGGATGGACATGGCGTGCTGCACGTACTTCTTCAGCGAGTGGCCACAGGACTTATGCTGCTGCACGCGGCGGCCCATGTAGACCACCAGCAGTGCCATGATGGACAGAGCGAACATGGAGCCCATGACGGCGGCCAACGCCACGCTGCTGTGCCGTGACGCCACTGGCTCCACTGAGAAATCCGCCTCTTTGGTGGTGATGTTGAGACAGGACGTGTGGACAGGAGAGGAGAAGGAGGAGGATGGAGAGATGGAGGTGGGAGAGGAAGAGGGGGAGTTGGGGGGCGGAGGGGAGGAGGAGACGGTGAGGCAGACGTGGTACTCTGTGGCAGGAAGCAGGTGAGTCAGGTTGTACTCCTGAACATCTACTGGGACCTGGAGGGGGAGGGGGGTATTAGTTTACATGTAGACAGGGGTGGAGAGGGTTGATGTGCTCACCTTGGCAGTGTAGCTGATCTGAGGATTGTCAATGTGCACAGTGGCACTGGTCCACCGGGGCACAGGTAGGGGGACGTCCTGCTGGTTCAGACCCGCAGAGGAAGGCCCTCTGCCCGAATACAGCCTCCACTCCAACAGCACCGACTGAGCGTGCACCACCTGCACAGCAAACAGGAAGCCACAGCAGTAAATCTCCACCAGAACCAGTGTTCTGATGACAGTGATGGTAAGAAATAGATTCATATTCCACATGAGTACAGAGAGATACAAAGCCATGTGCTTCACACAGGAAGCAGTGCTGGAAGAAGAACTCGGGTCCTTTAAAGACGAACGTCTCGATTTTCAGTGACACAACTGGTAGTAAATCTAAATCACATTTATCTTACTGCCCATCATACTTCCTGAACACAGACATGTGGGTTCTGTCTCCTGCACGAATCTGTCAGGTGGCACACACAAAATACGCAGGCGTTTCTGTGTAGAGGAAGCATGGAGGGAGGTGAGATGGACGCCATTTAGACAGGCTACCAGTTATTACAGCCCTGCTGAAAACAGGAAATGTAGAAATACCACAGTGTAGAAATGCAGGTACCTTTGCCAGCACCACCAGAGAGGCTGCAGCACTGGACGAGTTCCCCAGCCAGGGCTGCTGTCTGCTGGGCTCCCCATCCAACCAGTCTCCCCTGTCCGACCACCAGCCCACGGACCCCTGAGAGTCCACGAAGACTGAGATGCTCTTTGTGTCTGCCCCCTCCGTGTTCCATGCTACACAGGTGTACACACCTGAGAGACAAACACACACACACACACACACACACAAACACACACACACACACACACACACACACACACACACACACACAGAGTTTATTCTAGTCAAAATTATGATGAATGTTCTAAGTAAACATCAAAACGTGAAGCACTGCATGTCTTCATCAGCTACTTTTATGTCAGTATATTTAAACACACAAAACACATTAAAATCTGAATAAAAACACATGAAGAAGATGCAAAATCCAGTGTTAAGGTATATTCCAGAATTTCCCTCTGGGTATTAATAAAGTCTCTATCTGCACAAAATCACTCAACAAGTACATTTACTTTACATTTACATTTACAATAAGTAACTTTCCAGCCCCGTGTAGGTCCAGTTTGTGTCTCTAATACCGGATAATCACTTTTTGAGACTTGTATTTTGACAATCACAGTTAAATTACAGAAGTACTGGTGTATATTTTTGATTTTACTCCTTGGGGGCGCCTTGCTTTCTGAGCGCCCCCTGTAGGCTGGATGTGATTCAGCGTCTCAGACGGACCTGCATCTGACGGCTCAGCGTGTTCAATCACCAGTGCTCTGGGCTCCAACACAGGATGCTTCTTCTTCCTCTTTAGGCCATGGCCCTCCTCTGATATGATTGGTTCAGCCGCCGCCTCTGAGCTCACCTGCCCAGGTATAAAGGAAACAAACATAAAAAGATTGATCTTTAATCGTTGGTTAAGATGTATGGTTATATTATTAGATATACTTTATCATATTAATCAGAACACACTGTTACACTAAATGTTTTAATCAGGTCAAGTTCAGGACTCAAATTCAGCCGTGCCATCAGGTATGGCTCGTCTGTACGACAGATCTCAGTTTTAGGCACAACTCAGGTGCACCAACACACACCCATTTGCACAGCTATCTTTGGGAAGACATTCACTGACATAATGCACCCCCTATCATATCCTAACCCCAACCTAAACGTGATTCCAACCTGAAGCCTAAAACCAAGTCTGAGCCATCAGACAGCCCTTAGAAGGCCTGAGGACCTAACAAGTCATCACAATGCAGAAATGTCCCTACACTGCAGAGATGTCTTCATGGTGTAGCAATGTCCTCACAAAACAAACTGGCCCTCACAAAGATAGCTATACAATACATAACACACGTGACTCCACCCACCTTGTCTCCAGTGGGCGTCACCCAGTAGAACTGAGGGGCAGGGTCAGCATCCGCCCAGCACTCCAGTGTGATTGGCTGCCCGGCACTGACATTCATGGCTGGCGGAAAGGCGTGTGGAGAGATGTGAGGCAGGCAGCTGCTGGGCCCGCCACCTCCTGCAGCTCCCGACCAATCAGCTGAGACGGTGAGGAGCAGAGGGTGATGGAGGACTCCAGAAGCTTGAGGCGTGATTGGTTGCCAAGGTGAGGAGCCCAGGAGGAGAGGCAGTCACATCGCAGGGGATTAGAGTAAAGAGATACCTCCTCCAGGGAGGGCAGGGAGAAGAGGAGGTCTCCAGAGAGGAGGCTGAGCTGGTTATTATGGAGGAGGAGAGTCCGGAGGGAGGACAGGTCGCTAAATGGGGAGGAGAGGATTGAAGGAAAAGAGAGGAGAGAAGGAGGAGAAAGGAAATAAGTAGAAAAGAGGAAAGGAATCAGGAAACAAGTAGAGGAAAGGAAACAAGGAGAAGAGAGGAAGGAAATAAAGGAAGGGGAAGAAGGAATGAGGAGAAAATGAAGAGGGAGCAAGGAGGAAAAGGCCAAGGTGGAAATGAAGACAAGAGAGCAGCAGGTGAATGAGGAGGAGGATGAATAAGAAACATACGAGACATGAGTTAGGAAGTGATGAGGATGGAAGGAACAAAGGATGAAGAGGGGGAGAAAATGAGAAGGAGGTAGAAGAGAGATTTGTTCTTGTGTGAAATGTGAAAAGACTAAAATGTGTGAAACCATCCAACAGAGTTGAAGTGTTTTGGCACTGCTGCTCACCTGAAGGCCTGCGGGTCGATGTAGGACAGGTGAGGGTTGTTGCTCAGCTCCAGCTTGGCGATTTCCGGAAGGTTGTGAAAAGCCTCTCGTTCCACCATCAGCAGCTCCTCCATGTTGTTCAGACTGAAGCCGAACACAGCGAACACAGCGAACACATCTTTGAAAGCACAATGTCTACACAGGACTCCAAACAACACAACGTGACGGAACCGCTGAAGCCTGTATCTGATTGGTTTGAGAACAGCAGGAAGGTGGGTCTTATCTAATAGGAGACTATCACAGGGATTTAAAAAGCAGGGGAAACTGAGGGCTCAGAGGTGGACTCGTCCATCACCTAAGCTGAAGTCACTGAGGTAGTCAAGAAGCTTCTCGGTGGCAAGGCACCGGGAGTGGATGAGATCCGCCCTGAGTACCTTAAGTCTCTGGATGTTGTTGGGCTGTCTTGG